TCTCTAATAATGATTAATTTATTGAATCATAAAAATTAGAGGTTTTTGATAATTAAATTGTTAGGAATATTTAGGCTTACTGTCACTAAGTTTTGATACAGGAATTGAGTTGATGACAATAGAGACAAGTTAAGATTTGTTTTAATCCTGTGTGTCTTGCTAAATTAAAATCTATGACTTTATTATTCAATGAAAAAAAATTTCCTTTAAAATTGTTTCTCTATTCCATTATTACTTAAGAGCAAAGAAAGTCCTTTTTTCTAACAGAGATGATAAAAACAAAGATTCTCAATCCTTCATATTAACTTTAAGGTATTATATGCAAACAAATAAATCCCAAATCTACCTTTAACAAATGAATGAAAAATGAGATATCAAACTCAAAGTCAAAAAGTTAAGTTTCTATCATTATAAAAGATAATTTCTTTTAAAATGTAAAGTTTTTCTTTAGGCATATAAACTCAATTATTTTATCTAAGTTTTAATATGTCTATTAAAACAACTGTTGCTATTTGCTTTCCATAAAATTGAAACTCCAACTAAGATTTCTTCTTAGCAAAAGTCTAACATTTATTTCTATGCTGAGTTACCTTGTGCTTGCACAATGCTGAAATTGCTAAAGATTTAGCCACTACTATGAACATCCTTTATTTACTCTAGCACCCCTCTTGCCCAGAAGAAAATATGTCAGTAGTCACTGAAAGTTCCAGTACCTATTATGTATTGACTATCATAAAGGAGTAGAGGGAGCACCCAGAAAAAGCACTAAGAAAAAGTACCCCAGAAACACAATCTAACTTACAGGTAACAGAGACATGCTAGAGGTGTCTGCTAAAAAAAAATAAATTCCATACCATAGTCACGACCATGTTTGCAAAGCTGGCCTAAGTACATTTGAAATGAACTATAGAAAAACATTAAGTCTCTTAGAAAGATGCTTGAATCCTAACTTCAAGACAGACTTTCAGCTTGAAACACAGTCGTTTCCAGCAACGCCAAGCCTCAAAGTGCCCTCAAAATTAAAGAGCAGAAACAAAATACATTTTTCTAGTGGTAAGTTTTGGGGAGGACTCAGAATGATTTTGTTTTCTCCTTTGAATGTCACCGCACTTACACTGAAGGCCTGGTGAACTGTGCGTTATTAAGTCACAAGAAGATAAAATTATAGGGTTCCATAACATAATCCTTGAAAGCCCTGAAGCTCAGATCTCTGTCCTGCCCTCATATCTACTATCCTCAATATACTGTCCATGAGAGAAATGTAACCAAAAACATCATGAAACCATTCTGCATTAAAAAGGTATTTTATTAAGAAGATACTTTAACTTTGTAAAATCTGTATAAAACAATAAAAATTTGCTAACCAACCGATATTATGTTTTACATGCTCTAAAAATTAACAAGGGCTGTGTTTTCAGTTTTCGAGCAAAACAGAAAAAGTTTTTTAGCTATTCTGTAACTGGAATTTAAGAAAAGAATAAACTTCTAATTAGAACTTCAAAATGTGTGTGTCTATATCATATCAAAAAACTGTAAATATAATCTAATAATTTTGTGATATAAAATGTATATTAAAGACAGTTATTTAAGAATTATAAAATCCATGAAACTTAAAACTTATAGCATAAATTATGGCACAATGATTTTTAAAACACCAAAAAACATTTTAGTCAAGTAGGTAGCCAATGAGGGTTTGTCCTAAACCCCAAGGGTATACTGCCCACTGCTGTCAAACACTATATTCGCTAACTCTTTTATATGTATTCTTTTGAACTCTTACATTGACCTTTCAAAATATTTCCTATTATACTTATATTGTGCTAAGGAAACTAAAACTAGAAAGTTGAAGTCATTTATCTAATGTAACTCAGCTGGCAAGGAACAAGACCATGATCATCTTCCTGGTATGTTTGCCTCCAAAGCTTTGAGATCTCAGTAAAATCCCCCTCAAATGTAGCAATGAGGTTCCCTAGGAAATCTGTACAAATCTCAGGCAGATTAATGTGCTTATGAGGGTAAATGCTGTAGATTTAATCACTCAAATGAAATGCCATCTGGAATCTCTTACCCTACTTGGTGTAAGCATCCTACATGTGTTTTAGCCAACCCTGGCCTTGGCTAAGGATTCAATATTTTCCTGCCTCAATGCCATCAACAAGCAGTATGCACATTATAATACTTGTACCAACACAGGAAATGTAGCTAGTTGCTTCTAAATCATTTAAATACTGCTCATTGGTTTAGATTCTTCTTATTAAAATGTCTAAGAAACAAATGAATAATTTGTTAACCCAATTTGTTAGATGGGTTTGGGGAATCAATTTCCTTTTTCCTAAAACACAAATCCATCTCCATAATAAGTATTTTCTATCGTCACTTAAAAGTCCAGATCTCTTACTAGTGTTTTTATTGTTCTTTTTAATCTATCAGAGTAAATTTGTTTAAACCTCAAGAGAGAAGAAGAAGAAAACTGCCATGATTTTTCAATGACAAAAAGACAGTAAACTGAAAACACTGGTTGGCTCAAAAAAGTGTATGTAAAAAGAATGAAGGGTAATAAAATAACCAAAAAACAATGTTTCAGACTTATTCATTTATACTCAAGAGATATTAACCAACCAAGTGGACGTGTGTGTAAACTGTACACATTTCCAGTTCAGATTGAAGGTATGACATCACTCATGGGGCCCTTCAGATCAGCTGTTCCAATTCATTTTACAGCTCTTGTGGATGTGGGTAATTCATGCCCTTGTTACCAAACAGAAGGGTAATTTTACAACCTTTACCAAGAGGTTTTTTTTTTTCCTGTGCTCTTTTTCATCTATGAAAAGCCATGTGAGCTTAGCACTTTAGAAATGAATGAGTTAAAAAGAAATGAACGGTTTCGACATTGAAAGTTTAATCAACAGCTTCAGCTGAGCTAAGTTTAATTCTTAAAATAAATATCATGTCAATAATGTTTTAACCGCAAGACATACACACAGCTAGAATGACTACATTTCGGAAAAAAAAATTTTCTCACTTTACCTAGATGTCACATCAAAAAAAAAACCCCACCTCCCATACTAAATCTATAAATCAACTCAAAGTCTAATTTGGAGACATAAGGATGAAGATTCAGAACAAAACAAAACCCTGTTTTATTTGGTGTCTTTAAAACAAAGAAATTATTTTAAGCAATTATTGTGACCTAACATTTATTTTTAATCTTAAAGTAGAGATAATTTAAGTCCTTGAGAGTTGAAATCATATACAATACATTATTAGATTTCACATTAATTTTTAAACTCAAACATAGGGCTCACCATTGAGAATATGGATTTCAGGGAAAGTAACTGGCTGCTCAGGTTCATTTTGCTGAAAAAGTACTTTCAAATCATCTTGAAAACATAGGCAAATGCTTGCACATTGCTAGGTGTCTTCAGATTCTGCTCTTCCTTTTATGACACAGAATCAACCAGACAATAGAATTAAGAACTCAGGCTCACTGCAGAATGCTGCCGTTCAGCATTTAAGACACGGGAGACATTCAGTGTATGTCAACTGCTACTATGAATCAAATTATTAAAAAACTATTCACATTTTATAAAACTAAGAATTTGTTAGCCAAATGAGAACACAAGCACCTAATGCCACAGCAGGGAGTGAGTTCCCTGTAAGAGAGTAATAACTGGTCATTCTCATGAGGAGCCATGCCAAATTTAGAAATGAGGCCCAAATGACAAAAAACACAGATTTGATCATCACTGCACATATGTAAGTCAGTGTGCATATAGGTAGGTTAGTAATATGCAGGCAGTGTCTGGGGAGCCCCTTTTATTTTATTTATTTGAAGCCAGCTTTTCACTTAGCAATGCTATCTATACAAGCGGTGATAACAGATAAGACAATCAAGTGGCTGATTTGCTACATTTTTGCAGAAACTGCATGAGAGCCAAACAGGTGGGATAAAAACTAGTAAGCTTTAAAAAAGCACCACTCATTGAAAGATATGTGCACACAGACAAACTGTAAAATGATGTAACCTTCTTGACCTTGTCAAGAGATGTCCAAAAATACTTAAATATCTTTAAGAGGCAACTACTATTAACTGCCACAGAGCAGTACCAGTTCTTACTGGCTCAATCTCTCAGCCATCTGCATACAACATGCACATACCTCCCTTCCTGGCCTCTTAGCCAAACAGTCATTGAAAACATACATGATCCCAATTATTTCCTTGCATAACTAAAGGCAAAAAGGAACAAGAAATCCAAAAATTACAGCAAAACTGCAACTACCTTGCCTTTCAGGCTATTTTAAGACTGTCTCAGGGAAGGTTACTTCTCAGCCCCCCAAACTCCATTAATTGCCAAGGCCAGCACCTTAGCACACATATGACACAAATGCCCAGGTGAAGCCTCCTTGTAACTAAATGACCTCAGAAAAATGGACTTTCTCTCCAAGATTAATGGAAACAAAGGAAGTGATCAAAATGATCCCTCCAACTCTGATAGCGTTTCCTGCTATACGTCAAGTCAATTGAATACATAAAGACTCAGTTCCTACAGGGCACTCTGACAACTGCATAAATGAGGGTTAAGGTTCCAAGTTCAGTGAACTCTTCTGAGTTTGAGTGCCTTAGGGGGTGACATTCAAGTGATTTCATTAACATCTAGCCACTCTTAATTTCAAACGGAACCCTAAGCGTGCAATGCTTATGGACCCTACCGGGTTTGGGCTGCAAGGGCAAAGTGTCACTTAGGAATCCTGTGTCCTAGGGGGACTCAATCAAACTATCTCTAAGTTGCTTTTTGCAAAACGCTGAATTTATCTGGAGTGAATAGTAGAGAGAGGGAAGATCAGGAAAGGGGAATCTCCCTCCAAGGGAGTAGAACAGACCACATGCAGTTTGGGTGACAAATCTCTCAATGGATTTCCCGGGGCCACGGGAACTGGCGGCCTCCCAGCGTGGGAATAAGCAGCCTGGGGGCGTCAGTGACAGCAGAACCGGGGCTTACCTTGTTGGAGGCCATCTCACTGACGGAGTGCCTGGTCTGTAGGGTCTCTAGCTGGTCCAGACACCAGTCCAGCTCCTCCAGGGTCTCGCTGGCCAGTTTCTGGTAGGCCTCCTCTGCGAAGAGACAGGGAAAGGGGGGCTCAGTCCTCAAGCGCTTCGCGGGGCCGCTAGCGAGTTCAAAGGGGGTCATCCTGCCATACCCCGCCATGCTCGGACGCGCGGCGCCGGCCCATGAGGGCTGCTCCTTCATATTGCCGAGCCCGGCAGCGCGACGGGAGCCAAGGCTCTGCGCGCCGGGCGGCCCGCCTGGGGGAGGCGCGGGCTCTCCAGCTTGGCGTCTCGGGTGGGCCTCCAGGGAGGGCGCGCTAAGAGCCGCAGGCCAACTTTTACACGGGGACACGGGCGGAAAACCCGCGAG